GTAAGAGAAAATGAGGATACTGAATATCATGTTTTGAGATACTCTGAATCGAAATAAATGAATGCATAGAATCTTTATTCTCCCTTGAGAAATTAAATATAGTGGTTCTCATTGTCTTACACAGGAATGAAATAAGAGTTACCACGACAACACATCTTAGTTTACCGTTATGACAATTCCTATTGACTGTTACAATCATTGGAAATGTCTCGAGAAAGTAATCACGCTTTCCTCCCATTGTTATACGTGTACATCTCCATTCATTAAAAAGCTCTCAAATTAACTAATTTGCAAGGGAAATAGAAATCGGTTTTGTATGTTAATTGTCAGTAATAGTTAACTTCAAATGATTCCCCGTGGGGCTTTAAGTAGACAACTGAGGGGAGGCTAAAATGCTATTGGCTCTCTAAACTGACCGTTATCATTGATCGCTGAGTCACATACTCACCTTAGATACTTCTTGTTTCTAATTATCACAAATATAGCAATTCGCTGCAGAGAGCTACACTGTAATTCACGAAGTTGGAATATTTTTATGAGGCCTGATACGTTTGACTTTTTTAACCTTATTCTCTGGATAAGAATGGTGTATGAGTATAAGTGACCAACCATCAAACTTAAAGGGAGTGGGAGGGGGGTTAACCTATCTCAATTCTTAATTTTTTCTAAATAGCCCAACTAATCAGTGTAATATAACTAAGCTCATTTTATTAAGAAAAATACTCTTTTTTTCTCATCAATCAAACCAAAATATTTTTCCTTACTAGCAATGATTAAGAATGAATAAACTACTTGATCCTTCCAAAATAATATTTCTGAAAAAAGTTCAAACCTTGAATTCAAATTAGTCTAACATCAAGTCATTCCTTCTTTACCTTTTCTAATAGAGTAATGTACTAGAATCTGACACTCCGGGTATTCCAATTGTTTAGCCCATAACATACACACCCACACTTCATATTACACAGTATTTCAAATAATACAGTTAGTAGTCAGGCCCGTAGCCAGAATTTGCCAAGGGGGGTTCAGTTTTCCAAATTTCCAGGGGGGTTCACATTTGACAATTTTGGCCCAAATATGGCTAAAATCACTTAAGAAGTGCTCAAAACTGCATGATTTTGAAAGAATTTTTGGCGAGGGGGGGGGGGGGGTTCGCAGGGTTCTGGCTACGGGCCTGAGAGTACATAAATTGCTGCCTAGTGCAATGTGCACCTACAAAGGGCAGAGAATTAGGGCAAATGACAAGAGACTTAATGCACTTGACAAATTCTACTGTTCTGCACAAGAGGTTATTAACAGAAACCATATATAGTATAGAACTGCTGAATCAATTACTGCAACCATGGCAACCACGGATACAATGACATCATAATATAAGCAACTAGATAACGGCAACTCCGCGGAGTAGCAAATCCCAACGAACAAAATATCAATTAGCGAATCCAATCAATTATACTCATTACTTTGGTTAAAATTGAAAAAATTAGATTTTAGAATTGTGAATTCCTGCAAAGCAGCCATTTTGAATTTTCTGAGATACAAATCTGAAAAATAATACCATAATTGTGATCTACTCCAAAATTCCTTCAATTTGAGTATAATATAGCCATACTTTGAAGGGATCGAAAAATTATTGCGAAATCGTACATTAGGCGGCCATTTTGAATTTTACGAGGCTCGAATCAGAAAAAATATACAATATTTGCAATCTACTCTTAATTGCCTTTCATTTGAGTATAATAAAGCTATACTTTAGAAAGATCTAAAAATTAGCAAAAATTTCTGTTTTCCTGGCCCCTGGGGGTCAGGATGAAAAACACGGAATATATGTGAAATAGATAAATGTTGTGAATATACTAACAAAATTTCAAACAATAATATTAATTACTTTGGTTCAGAATGAAAAATTTATGATTTTTGCGAAAAAGTCCCGTCATTTTTAAAGCGGCGGCCATCTTTTTTTCGTAAAACTATTCACCAATATACATCTTTTTTTTTTCATGTTATCAATTTATTTCTAATATAAACATTTACATTCAATTACAAATTCTAATTGCCAAGGTTTTGCAACCAATATACATCTTTCCACCAAATATGAAGAAAATCCGTCTACTAGTATTTGAGTTATCTTCCGGACAGACGGACGGACTGACTGACTGACTGACGGACTGATGGACTGACGGACGGACAGACGGACGGACGGAGGGCTTCACTATATCCCCACCGAACTTCGTTCGTTGGGATAATAAACTTGCTCTAATAAAGTTTCTGTTAACAGCTTCTCAAAAAGCAACTGGAGAAAATTTTCTGGTGATTTTTAACTGAAGCTGCTAAAGATATTTAATATATGCATTAAAACAAGGCATAAACATGCAAAATGTCACCACCTGCCATTTGTTGCCAGATGCCAAACACCAACCAACAAACGCCGAATGCCCAACACTATCCACAACAAAGTTGGAGACTATATAAAATAATATGTCACCATAATGTGGTGACATAAAAAACTAAATGAAAAAAACTAAAAATTAGTACCATGGGTACTGGGCTCACATGGTGTTACTCAAAAGTGAAGTGAATGATAGCTAAAATAACAGAAAATAAAAAAAACGGATATAATTTTTTGCTGATTTTTTGTAACAAAATTATTTCAAGTCACTTGCTACTATTTTGGACTGACTGAGAGACAGATGGACAAATTGATGTTAAGTAAAATGGCTGAAAAGAAACGGATATAATTTTTTGCCAATTATTAGTAACAAAATTATTTCACGAGAAATTTCGCGAGACAAAAATGGCGACCATTTTGAAAATAGGCAAGCTTTTGAACCAGGAGTCATAGGGGAGTTTTCTGTATTGATGTTGAACAAAAATAACTTGAAAATGGAATCCTATCGACAGAGGTTTTAAGCAAATGGTCCAAAAAAGGATTTCGCGAGACAGATGGACAAATCAATGTTAACTAAAATGGCTGAAAATAAAAAAAACGGATGTAATATTTTGCCGATTTTTTATAACAAAATTATTTCATACAACTACTCTTTACAGTGATATGGCTTTCTACAATGCAGGACGGCTGAAATTATTTGTAAAGCTAGGAAATGGGCCAAAAGTGAATTTTGCGAGACAAGAATGGTGGCCATCTTGAAAATAGGCGAGCTTTTGAACCAAGAGTCACAGGAGAGTTTTTTGTATTTATGTTGAACAAAATTAACTTAAAACGGGACAGATGGACAAATCAATGTTAACTAAAATGGCTGAAAATAAAAAAAATTGACATAATTTTTTGCTGATTTTTCGTAACAAAATTATTTCATACATCTACTCTTTACATTGACATGGATTTTTACAATGTAGGACACTTGAAATTATTTGTAAAGCTAGGAAATAGGTCAAAAGTGAATTTCGCGAGACAAAAATGGCGGCCATTTTGAAAATAGGCGAGCTTTTGAGCCAGGAGTCATAGGGGAGTTTTCTGTATTGATGTTGAACAGAAATAACTTAAAACAGGAATCCTATTGACAGAGGTTTTAAAACGTGCCACTGTTGTTGACGGAAAAGTGGATTTCACAAGTCAGATGGACAAATCAATGTTAACTAAAATGGCTGAAAATAAAAAAATAGATATAATTTTTCGCTGATTTTTTGTAACAAAATTATTTCATATATCTACTCTTTACATTGACACAAATTTTTACAATGTAGGACACCTGAAATTATTTGTAAAGCTAGGAAATGGGTCAAAAGTGAATTTCGCGAGACAAAAATGGTGGCCATTTTGAAAATAGGCGAGCTTTTGAACCAGGAGTCATAGGGGAGTTTTCTGTATTGATGTTGAACAGAAATAACTTAAAACAGGAATCCTATCGACAGAGGTTTTAAAACGTGCCAGTCAAAAGTGAATTTCGCGAGACAAAAATGGCGGCCATTTTGAAAATAGGCGAGCTTTTGAACCAGGAGTCATAGGGGAGTTTTCTGTATTGATGTTGAACAGAAATAACTTAAAACAGGAATCCTATCGACAGAGGTTTTAAAACGTGCCACTATTGTTGACGGACGGACAGACAGACGGACGGACGGACGGACGGACAGACAGACGGACAAGTGAGCGATTGCAAAAGCTCACCATGTGAGCTAAAAACCTGCTTTGTCTTTATTATTAGCCTACATCTATTCAACTACATTCTTTGTCACGGAAAGATCATTGTAACAAAAAGACATAACATACATATTTTTTTACCCAGTTTTATATTTTTTCATAAATTCACATTCCTTAGATGAACAACTGAAGAACCCTGAAGCAAAGGCACAAGACTGTGTGTCGAAGTATATTCCTTTAATCTGTGAAATCTATCAACTACAGCAATGTACTGTACATACATATAGTAATAAAATGTTATTTATGACTGTAATAAATATATTCACTATCAATTATTTTTTATATCTCATGAAAAAAATTTGATATGGATAATCGTTTTTAGTTATGAGACAGCGGGATTTTACCTTATTCTATATAAGAATAAATAACAAATACTTCATATCATATGTATGTGTAGCATTGTTCTATTTTTGTTATGGGGCCTAGGGGCGAGGGTTTCATCTGAAGTCCAAAAATCAACGTTACCAACCAACCATTTAGAGATAATTGGGTATTTTACCTCCTCTCGCCCCAAGGAAAATTAACTCTGTAGCTCGGCATATATTGATACTTTAGTCGAGCCATAAAACAAAAGTGGTTAAATTCAAGAATTTATCAAATCATCAAAAAGACAACAGACCATTAAGATGAGAAATAACAACAGATTAGTTCGCCTCCAAAATTCTCTGACTAAAACATCCATGTAGCTCTCCATTTTCATTCTGAGTGGGTATACAGGAAAATGGAGATTAACGATAGAAGACTAATAAAGAATTTGAAGCCATGCAATTATCAAAGAAGCAATAAAACAATAACATGATAACTTCAACAGTCTTGTCTATGTCTATATACCTTTAAGTCATCATTTGTATTGATTTCACTTTTTGATTGATTTCACTTCTTCAATTGATTTCACTTCTTGATTGAAAGAGCAATGAAGCCTTCTGATGAAAGATGCCCAAAGTCTTCAATTTCACATTCTTGTCATTATCAATTTAACTAATTTTCTCGGTGGAAGTAGAAGCTGAGTGTAACCAATAGTTGTGAAGATGAATTTTCCCGACACCACATGTATTCTCGGCTGTATCCTATAATTTATCTGTTCAGTCCACGTGTCATCTCACAACTTTTCTTAGTCCTTTTTTAGCACCCTGGTGAACATGGGCTTCTAGTTTATCTGGAAATACATAAGCATAAATGATAAATACACAAATGCGTTCAGAGCCTGTATTCTAGATCACAAAATGTTTGCAAAATATCATCAGAGGAGAGTCTACACTGTGTGCAGAGTCTAGTTGAACCACGAAGCTCTCTTTTAAGAAGTGAAGTTAAACGATTGCGAATGGTACCTGGAAGGGTGAGTAGAGTCATGTTAAAAAATGCAAAGGGCAAAATTAAAAATGTAAAGAATGCACCATGAGAGAGTGCAAAAAGGTCATAATATCCCATAATGTAATTCATTGAATTTGATAATTAAGGAATATCACCTGAATCTACCTGTAAAAGTTATATTGACTTCTATAAGTATATACATCAATAGAATGACTAATTCACAAATTATTATCTAGTGATTATTATAGCACACTGTAATCAAAGTATAATTATCTTGTGTGTCAGTGCCTATTTCATGAAATAAAATTAAGCTCTCTTTAAAGAAGTGATGTTTGGCATGTTCAAAAAATAATATTAACACTGATGATTCAATATTGTTTTATTGGTCCAAATCTGTATGATGCACCATACTGCCAAGTCCCATCCATCAACCAATGAGAATATGCTATACATAAATGTCTACCAGTCCATAGTACTTTGCAATCACCTTCATCACCCAGAAAGCAAGATGGCCACCAAATAGTTAATCAGCTCTTGAATTTCATACAATGAAAATTGTGCAATAAAATTTTAAATGATCTGTTAAGTGGTTTTCCTGGGATCACGATGACTGGAGAGAAAAGGGAGACGCCATCCGACCACCAAGCTGACAACAATATCGCTTTTTTTCTCAATCACGATCATCACCCACCAAATATAAACAAATATTACAGGATTTGGATTCCCTTCAGATTTATCACTTTCAATGAGTAACATTTTTTGGTTGTTATGTTTTGAGTTGTACAATGAGGGAAATACGAAAATACATGTACTGGAATTAACAAATAAGGAAGCAGAGGTGTTATGTCAAAGAACTGCACAAGAAAGAACAATTCAATTCCAAAAGCTTCTTAAATTCAGGGTTTCATTTGAATTCCATTGTCATTAGAATAATAAAAAAAGTTATCCATTCAATGACATTGACTCATATCAAGAGATGGCAAAGAATGAAAGGTGGGATTTGAGGGAGGAAATAGAGTAAAGGGAAAATACCAGCTTGGTTGTATGAGTATAAACAGGCACCTGATGAACAATGTTCATTGTTCAACAAAAAAAAATTAAAAATAACTTCCAAAAATTTACATAATTTCATGCCAAAGAATGAAAAGTAAACATAAAAAGCAATAATCCATCAACCGCGCTGATGGCGAAATCAAAAACATCTAAAGCATGTGAGTAACGACAAAAAATCATGTATTGGCTACAATCTGTTAGAGCTGCTCAAAATGAAAACTACGTTTTTAAGAAAAAGTCACCATGGCTTCTCATGTTACAAATCACCTTCCCCCTTGATGGGGAAACTATTAGCGGTTATTTCATTCTTTCTTGACAATAATCTATTTTTCTCGGCACGCAACACTAATAGATTAGCATCATCTGCCGGATTTGGATCTAATGTACAATTACAGCATCTAAATTCACTCCCTTGTTTTGCTTTGCCAATCAGATTAATTAATGTTAAATTCTACAAAATCATATTCTACAAATTCTACAAGATCATATGTTTTTCTCTATTGTTTTTCTTTTAAGAATATACTACCTAAAAATCTTTCACCAATTTTAAAAGAACAATATAAGACAAGTTGACATTGTTCTCAGGTCATTGTGCCCATAAAAAATATGCTACCATGGCAATGTTTTGAAATATAAAATAAAGTTTAACGAGTGGAAATAACCTAAAATAATAAAAGCAAACCAGCACCAGTCAATCTAAATTATATATAAAAATGTCAGAAAATCCAATTTTAGGGGGAGACATTATAAAAAATAAAATAAAAAACAAGAATGAGGTTTCAGACACAGGTTTAATTTGTAAAGATCCTAAAGATTTGTCTTACAGGTACAGTAATATTTGTAATTAATTTAACAGCTGTGGACTAACTCAGGGATCAGGTGAATGTCTCATTTCTGGTGTCAAGTCCTTCATTGAAATATTCTTTAAAATTATGCAACTTTCACCATTTGAGCACTTTTTTAAGTGATTTTTGGCCGAAATTGTCAAATCCAAACCCACCTGGAATCTTTTTTAAAAATGGCCCCTCCTCCTTTTGGCAAAAGCTGGCTACAGTCTTGCTCTCCCCATATTGTATTGTATTGTATCCTTTATTACCACATTATTACTATGTGAGTACATTACAATTTTCAATATTTTGTCCAAACATATTTACATCAACATGTTGCGTTTTTTATACATAAAATAAATTGCCTTGGCCTTTAAAATCATATTAAAATCATCATCCTCTTTAAAAATCTGGAGTACATTATCTTCTCCCATTTTAAAAAGTGCTAGTAGAGCTACCCTTTCAGCATCTAAAGAGCTACAAAATATAGTAAAATGTTCTAATGTCTCAATCTCACCAGAATTACATATAAGGCATTTTTTATTGCCCCATTTATTGTTTCCATTCAGTGTTTGGTTAGTTAAGAGCTTAACCATTAGTTTAAAATACATGCATTTATCAGGATATCTGTTGCACAGTACCCACCAGATTAGTGGTTTAAATGAACATCTTATTCGAATATACAAATGGGTAGAATATTTCAAAGTACAGTTAATCATTAAGTTAAGTTTCTGAGTGTATCTTACCCGTCCTAATACTAACTTGTGCCACTCTGATTTTGAGGGATAAATACCAGTGTTTAACATGTTCTTTGCCGTGTCCAACAAATTGAACCTTATAAGAGTATTCCAAATTGTATGAATAGGAGATACAACTCCGATATTATCATTATGCTCTAATTCGGTGGCTCGAAATATGAGGATTTGTTTGTAAATATTTTTGATTGGCAATTTCATTAGCATTAAGAAAAACATCAGTTTATCTATTACAATTCTGAATTCTAAATTCAACCAACCCAGAGGCTCGGTGGCAAATATGTTGTCTGAAAATTTTGGTAGGCATTGAATACGCTTACCAATTGTTCTATGTACTAATTCAAGTTTTTCTATGTCCCTGCCTGAGTATGTTATTAAAGGGCTTCCATAGAGCATTGTAGGAACAGACAATGCCCAATACAGTCGTGATGCTGTTAAAGGACAAAGTCCCCCACAGTTGCCACCCAACCCGAGGAGTGAATAGTATTTCCGTTTACCTGAGCTTATAGCATTGTCAATAAAATCAGTAATGTCACCATTAACTGATAATGGTATACCTACATGTATTTGTTTCTGAACAACATTAACATTTCTATTACCAATTTTAAACACTGGTTCCACTGCATGATGTCTATTACCATAAATCATTATATTGCATTTGCCAGGATGAATCTCATATCTCCATTTCATACTGTGATTATAAGCTAAATTAAGTAATGTATTCATAGATGTCGTACTAGTAGTAAGAAAAGAGGTATCGTCGGCATATGCAGGACAGGTGACATCAATTTCCCCCACCGATGCACCTATGCCCAGGGCTTGTAAATCAGTTAGTAAGTCAGCATTGAACAATTGGTACATCAGCATGGAATAGACCCCACCTTGATGGACCCCCTGGAGTACATCGAATGGATCTGATAGCATGTTACTTACTCGCACCATGCATTTGTAATTATTGTAGGACTTGTGCAGTATTCTCCACAATTTTCCATTAATACCTATGTTAAATAGTTTAAAAAGTAGCCCATTCAAATACACAGTATCAAAGGCTTTACGAATATCAATTGTACAAACATAAACATTCTCTCCCTTATCGAGATTATGAGCTATTGCTTCTTGCAAAATCAGAGAGGTGTGAACCGATGAGCAGCCATCTTGTGACGCCCCCTGCAGTTGGGGAATATGTTTTAAAATAGTGGGCTTACTTCTGCTAAGAATGATATTGTCAAAGATCTTTCTTAAGACTGTCATGAGAGTTATTCCTCTAAAATTGTCCTGCTCTAATGGATCACGGTTACCTGATTTTAAAAGTGGCAATAAAATACCCATTTGAAAATTTGATGGAATAAATTCATTGTCAATTATATTTTGTATTAATATCTTAACTATGGAACAAACATATTTACCGCCATAACGGAGGTGTTCCGCTGAAACATCGTCAAAACCAGTTGCACGTTTCAAATTCAGGGAAAGAATAGCATTTAAGACCTCTTCATCAGTCAAAGGATCACATAATATGGTATCCTCATAATCGAATGATTCAGTCAACATACGCTCTATGGCGTTGTTGACTACCAATTCGTGGTTGGGATCGAAGTTCGGATTATTGCCCGGAGTGGCAAGGTTTTTAAAGTAATTTCGCCATTCTTCACAAATATCACTCGGGTTTGACAATATTTCATTGGTATGTGTACGTCGGATTAAATTAGAGTTAGCCTTACACCCACCTCGGCTTTTTTGCACCAAATGCCAATACATCCGGGGATTTAAATCCTCCAATTCATACAATCTTTTCAATTCATTCTGTTCATATTTATATTCTTCAGCTTTATAAGATTTTCTGAATAGTTTCTTAGCTTTAAGATATCGTATTCTATATTCATTAGTGCATTCTCTGGGACGACCTACACATCGCCATTCATTCCATCTTCTATTACGTTCTTTTACAAGTATAGTTAACTCACTGGACCAAAATGGCTTTAAATGCTTGCGATATTTTATAGTAGGTATAAATTCATGAGATAATGATTTCAAAATAGAACAAAATTCATCAATAAAATAGTCAACTTGGTGATTATCTAAACAGTTATCTCGACCGTTACATTCATTAAGTATTCGATTGTAAAATTGTTCACACATATGTTCAGAGGCTAGTGTATACGTTGACTCTATGTCGCATTTACTCAGTTTGTGCCACGCCAAACGCGAACCATTATCTTCACAATTCAGATCGTACTTTAAATCACACACATCAATATGTAAAAATATGGGTACATGATCACTTTGATTCGCTGCTTGTTCGTAAATGAGGCCACATTTAACTACATACTGTTTTAAAAAGGAGGACACAATACAGTGATCAATGTATGACATGCATGCACGGTGCGTGTACGAGTTAAAACTAACAACAGGACCAACTGCCTGGTTATTCATGTCAGCGACAATAAGACCTTTCTCCCTACATAAATTAAATAAGGATCGTGCATTATCCGTGGGATTACCCCATCCTCTAGGAGGGGGAAACAGTGTTCCAAAATGGCAGTTGACATCACCAATTATAATGACATTTCCAGTTTGCTGTGCCTGTGAAATAAATTCAAAGAGACTATCTAAAACATCAGAGAATGTATCATTCATACAATGCTGTTGAGGTAAGTAAACAGACATTATGAAAGTGGGAACAGGAGTTCGAATTTGAACACAAATTATACGATCTGTGCTTAATTTATGCATTGGTATAACGCTGTATTGTAATGAGGTCCGCCAGAATATTCCAACACCTCCACTGCCCCAGATCATGCCACAATTAGCTGGATTCAACAATTTATTGGCTATAGCATAACACTTAAAATCCTTATTGAAATTAGTCATTTTATTAAGATTATTAGGATACAGTTTATGCTCTGAAACACCAATAACGTCGAACTCAGTTAAAAGCTGGTTAAGATATTCCTTAGACGAATTAAATCCATTAAGGTTAAAACATGCAATTTTCAAAATAGTCATCGTATTTACACTATTTACAGTTCGGAGTTAATGAAGATTAAGAATGGTCAGTGTACTCCGTGCTCACGGGGTATCGTGTGAAATATTTGTGACTATTGTCTTGCAGACGGTGATCCCATGCATCTTCATCATAGTCATTATAAGTACCCCCGACTCGTGAATAACGTGTGTTGTCATTGTCATAAGAGTTACGTACACCATTGCGATCCACAGGCTGACGATCATCGTCGTCGTAGCAATCGCCATTGCTGTCGCAGTCATAATCAGGACGTGGATACGAGTGATAGTCATGATCATCAGAGTTTTGGCGGTAATTATCACGAGGATAGCGGTTGTTACGATTTACTGTAGCTCCTGGTTCAGTACGCGTAGCTCCATCTCGCTGGTGCTGATCATATCGTGGACGGCTGTCCGTGTATTGACCGCGATTCTTGAAACGGGTCCAGATACGTACTTCGATTGGATCAGGCCAATTTTCACTATCCATGGCATCATCAACATTCGATTCCGGCACATCGATTTTACATCCAACTCTGAACTTGTTGAAGCGGTTATGAATGACATTGATTTTGACGATATTTACATTGAAGGAAGACACATGGCGCTTAACACGATCCTCAATATCTGTGTCAGTGTCATCGAAATCCATTCGAATGTTGCTGACGTAGAGTGTCCTCGATCGCTCAAATTTCAGGCCACTGAGGGGCTTTGTAGTATTCCTAGCAGATTTCGGAAATGAGGTAGCCTTGTTGAGATGGGGCCGCGTGGGTGGCTCAGCGTGCCGTTTAACAGCAGGAGCGTTGGTGCCAAGTTTGACGGCCGTACTGTATGTAGGTACGAACTGAACAGGTTCCGTTCGTGTCTCGTCGTCCGCCGGACTGGCTTTGTTTACATTTTGATGTTTAGCACCAATTATTGACCCCGTTTGAGTGACAAATTCCTTAGGGGACTTATCTGCAATAATTACAATGTTTGTGTCTGTACTCAATGGGTTGACCGACTTTTCAGGAGTACTCTCGGTTTCCAATACACTGTTATTATTAGGCCCAATTACCGGCTTAGTAGGTGACTTGGGTACATTTATCGATAGTAAGATCTGGTCAAGAATAGTTGACATATTGCTCACCTCAGTCTCTAAAACTTCTATTCGCTTTCTCTGGGTAGTAATAACTTTATTACATTCTGATTCCACCTCCACGATCTTGGTATTCAGTTGTCTAACTTTCGACTCCAGGCGAATTATATGGTCCCGTTGTTCCGATTTAGATTTTGTGTCCACTGCTTGTCGTTTCGCCTTTTTTACATCGGGAAGAAACGATACCGAGCTCAACACTGAACGTGGGAAATCGTCCAAATGTTCATTGACATAAAGATATAGGTCACATATGTCCTTAGAAAGCATCAACTTTCTATTGCTACCAGTGCGTCTCACGGGTTTTAATTTTGACGGTAACTGATTTTGTTCCCGTTGTGCAAGCGGGCCAAACAAAGCAGCACACGTTTCCAAAACTCTAGACTGAGCCATCTCAAAGAATCTCTCACGTATAACATCCAATTCAGAATCTGTATAATCTTGATCTATTTCAATCATAATAGTTTCAGTTGACTCTTCAACTAGCTTATGGAGGGTTCTTTCAACCATGTCAAAATCTAATGAATCCATGTTGAAGTTTCAACTTGATTTAGTTGACTAACACAGATGTTAGGAAATACAGAACTCAGAAAGGTGAGAAAAAGTGTTCTCTATGGACAGGTGTTCATGACCAAAAGTTGTTCATGAAGACATGTTTTTCTATATTGGATCATGATATATTTTCAAAATCAGCGAATCATCTTAACTGATAAGGAGAGCTCAGCGTATAATACTCATAGTCTATCAGCAGAATATTACGTTACAATCTTTATTCTTTCATCCTATTCTAAAAACAGTTTTTCTAATTTCAAGAGAAGTGGTAAATCGAAATGGAAATTGAGCTTCAACATGATATTCTTCAATGAGTTCTGATCACTTCCCTATTAGATAAATAAACGTTGAGTGAAGCAATTGACGTTTTAATAAAATTGACTGCTGAGTGTTCGCCAAGTATTGCTTCAAAATCACTAGGTAGACTCAGTAAAACATGCTTTATATTTCCCATACTAACGATTTTTATGACAGACGCTGAAATTCTCTTTCATCTCAGTAGGAATAGTTCAAGTAATGAAAACAGGATTAGTACTGCTTGCAGCATATACATTGATCTAAGACGTAAATGTTTTCTTCGTTTATTAAGTTATTTATCATGTTTATTATGCTCGCTTTATTTTCTTTCATTATGGGTTTTGGAAAACTAGATAACACAAACAATTACAGGAAAATACTCAAATTTTCTCTCTGCTCCAAGGTTTTTCTCCCCAAAATGTGAATTTTCTGATTGTACGATATCATTTACAATATCGTCTACATGCCCTCTATTCATTGCTTATTTCAATCATTTCTTCAGCATTTTTCATTTAATAACATGCCCATCATGAAGCTATTTTTCCGCAAGGGTAGAATCAAGTACAGTACAATCTGCAGTAAACCTGTAAATGCAAACACCTCTCTAATGTGAACACCTCGAAATGTGAACACTCTTTTCAGTCTTCATTTTTAATCAGCCATAAACTATCCTGTTAGAAAACTTTGAAATGTAAACAACTGCCAATGTGAAGACATTCGGACAGTTCCAGTGTTGTTCAAATTAGACAGGTTTTACTGTATATGTGCAGTCAGTGTTTTTCAAATTAGACAGGTTTTACTGTATATGTACAGTCCCAGTGTTGTTCAAATTAGACAGGTTTTACTGTAGATGTAAAGAACCATTGTTACACAGTGTTACTTGAGAGGTTCATGTCAATAGACCAGATCCGTAATAAATCCTCAAAGATCATGGACATTTAAACTTTGCAGCATATAGAGATATTGCCCTCCCCTCCATATATTAAGCATTACTATATCCACCTGAGCAATATGTGATGTCATAGTGGCAGGCCATAGAGGCGGGCCATAGTGGCGGGCCAATATTGGATTAACAGTCCGGCAATGTTCCCCAGGAAATTAGATATCGTTAAGTGCAGTCCGTTCTTGCTATTTCAGCCCTGGGCATAAATGGAGGTAATAATACTAATACAGTAAAACCTGCGAACAGGGAATGCTCTTGGGACTGGAGGAAAGTTTCCTTGTTCAGAGGTTTTCCCTATAGAGAGGGGCCACAATTTCAGCAAACTCAAACTTGCCGAATAACCATATTTGTATCTATATGGGTGTTGTAAGACCTTGTAGATGTATGAAGGTCTCCCGCCTCCTTCCATTGGCTGAGGGTAAGGAGCGTTCTCCCTATGTTGATTTTAGCCGCTGCTACTGGCGTCTGATGATGTCTAGTTGATGTAATTTTTGATATGATGTGTAGAAATCTGTTGCTAAGAACTGAATTTCAAGTTTCATCAACCCCATTTTATATCATTGATAATCTAGAAGTTTGGATCAGTAAAAGATTTAAAGAGATTTGGCTCAACATGACACATGTACTTATCTGTTATCCCCTTAAAACAATTGTCAGTCCCTGAGTCCCTAGATTATCACAACTGATTTGATGTAATTAGGTTAATATATCAGGGTAATTAACAGTGGGTGGGATGCTACATACTGTAAACAATTGGCTTATCTTAATCTCAATCATATTAATCCAAGCTTTTTAGGATCAGATATTAGCTTAGGACTTTCACACCTCTGAAAAATAATGGAATATACAGTGTCACCAATATTCCATATTCCTTGTTCACAGGTGAATATTTATAATTTGCCCCAAAATAGTGTTCCTTGTTCCCTGTTCACAGGTTTTCCCTACAGAGAGGGTCCGTTAACATGTAAGTCAATAGAAAAATATTTGGTTCTTTTGAAAAGCATTCCTTGTTCATAGGTTTTCCCTACAGAGAGGTATTCCATCGGACAGGTTTTACTGTAACGTCATTTCTGCGGCTAAATAATGAAATATTGGACCTTGGGCCTTTGGCCTTGGTCCAATATTTCACTATATTGCCCTTTGAAATGACGTAACTGTACTATTGTTTATTAATAGTTTTCTACTTAGACACTGTACTATTGTGAAACAAAAATTATTTAATTCACATTCAACTGTCTAATAAAAATTCAATCATTTTTGCAGCTCTTATCACTACTACTTAATACATGTATTATCCAATCACATGGAAAAACAAGAACTAGGGATCCAATTTTTTAGTTTGCACATCTAAGACCTTATTTTATTAAAAAATCTAAACACATCAATATTAACTGCAAAGTGGTTTATTCTATAGTCTACGATTTGTCGATAATGCACAGATACAATGAGCTACACATGGCGTTACATTGAGCCTGTTAATGAGCTTGAATACCCATGTAAATTGAGACGATGCTTAGGCGACAATACCACCAATTTATACACATCCGGAATACTAAACCAGCAAACAAAAGATTCTGCTACATTAGCTTGGTCCACGGAAGATGGAAACCTAAAGTCAACGCATGTAGAATGTTAATCGCATTAGCCCCTTAAAGTTAATTAAAAATATACAAATGTATGTATTAACAATGCTTGGTTTTATAATATAAAGAATAACTAATTTTGACAGAACATTTATCATTGAACAAAACACAAATGTTGAATTTAATGATTTTCCAAATGTGTAAACATTTTCATTAGGCATATTTATAGTATAGCTTACTCTTAAGGCTTTTACATACTCCGTTGGTTTTGAATAGAAAACAAACCATTTAAAACGTCTTTCTCATTTAAAAAAACATCTTTTGTGAGAACAACTACTTGCCCTATAGTAACTTTTCATTGATTTATCTCAGCTTTGTCGCAAATTCTATAATTCTAAGCGAGAGTCAAATTGAAACACAAAAGATAAGAGGCAATCTCAGGCTGTTATTAATAAAGAAAATACAAATGGATTTTTTTATATCGGAATTGATTTCCTCATTATTTCTTAATTGGGTAATGCATGGGTTAATTCAAAAGTCAATTAAACATTAGGGATATTTTATTAAATCTGTATGTTTAACTGTATTGCCATATTCATTTTGTTTTTAATGTAGCGTAGCTTCTACATACACACGTCACACATCACGCTGAAACATCTAACAATAATACACTTGAAATATAACGTTTACTCAAATTAAACACTCAAATGAACATTTTAATGCTTTAATTGTTAAATATTTAGAAATTACAAATTTTTATTGATCTTTGTGAATGGTTTTCGACACCACCACCTGTCTATAGCCTTCAGTCACCCTTAGATATTTTTAACATCATCACTTTTGCAATGAATCTGTATAAAACACATTTTAAAATGGAAACAGAGAAAGAAAAGCGCAATGAGTATGGAATAAGGTTATACGTTAATATATAATGTGTAGTCAAAACTCTTAAAAATTAAATAGAAAGTCAGAAAATGAGACAGTTATTTCAAAATTCAGGGAGAAAGCATTGTAGCTTTCCATCGAGTCTAGAGGTAGTAACAACTTGAACCTTGTGAATCAAGATGGGGAGATAACATATAAAAAAGACTGACCAGAGAAAATGTAATATTAGATTGTCATCTAGCTGAATCCATAGTAACCGTGGTAATGTGTGATGTAGAGACAATTTCTAATCTTCTTGTAAGATTTCATCATCAAACCGATTCCCTTACAAAAAAGGAAGATGACAGCAAGATTTTTCTTAAAAATTGGGAGGGAGGCAGGAATTTCCCACAAAGACAACTATTCTATATAGCAAACAGAAAACAGAAAATCAACAATGTCATTCAAATAGTATCTGAAGAAGAGAAAACAAATGTTCAATATGCTAGCAGGAAACTCTAATTATACCCATGCTGATTCTAGAAAAATGATTCTTCCAAGCTTCGGTTCCCAAGCAATGTAATTTTCCTTCATATTACTGAGGATTTCCAATAAATATCTTTCTAATAAAACTAATTGCAAGCACTTGAGAAAGTTTGTGTAAAATACAATTATTTTTTGATATTTCATATTTGAAGTGATTTGTTGGTAATCAAGCATTGTCTAAATGTATACACAATTGCAGATGTATACCATGCCTCAATGTATGCTCACCTATACCTTGCCTCAATGTATGCTCACCTATACCTTGCCTCAATGTATGCACACCTAAAACTTGCCTCAATGTATGCACACCTCTACCTTGCCTC